CTGGCTGGCTGGCTGGCTGGCTGGCAGGCAATGCTTTTCCTCTGCCAACCATCTAAAACCAAACATATTTTTAAGCATGTAACTTCAACAGTACAAATACAAACAACCCTGAAATATTTGCCAGGAGCAAAAATAAACAACAAGGGCAGCAGAATAATTTACAGTCTGAAGGGAAACACTGTAGGGGAGGAATCATCATCATCATCATGCACTGACTTTTTTACATCTTCTGTTAATAAGAATATTTAAGAGATAACATAAAAATCTGAAATATTATATACCTAAACTGCCCTGTACAGTTTCCTTTATAAAACAATGCATATAATGTATAGTTATGGGAGCTAATGGAGTTAGCAGAGAACAGTAAGCAGTAGTCCTGGGTCCCTATCATTGTCTCACACATATCGAAGCAGGTACGATTTTTTTATTTGAAAAAACATTCAAGTCTGTAAGAGTTTGCTATGGGAAATCAGACTTTACATTAATCTGTCAAGTCCCATAAGAGCAACGGGTGATGTGTACTCTGAAACACTGAGGTTTACTGGAAGTAATATGGCTGCTAAAATCAAATAAAACCTTTGACCACCCAATATTATAAGGAGAATGACATCAAAAAATGTAACAGCAGAAAAACAAGACAGTGCTGAGGGGAAAAACAGTGAATTGTGTCCCAGGAAATGAAGTTTATAGAGAAGCCAAAGGAGGAAGGACTGTCTCTGAGAGGCAGACTAAGGCAGGCTCACGTCCCAGCAGTGAGGACAGAGTCACACAGCTGAGCAGTTCGGTCATTACTGATCGATTTCAGGTCACTTTGACTCCTTAGTGACTGGAGAAAGCAGAATTCCTGGGCCGGATTTAGTGTTAAATATTGTAGGATACATGTCGGTGTTTTTCATACTAACTAGTCTTTGCTTTTTTATTGTGAATTCTTTGAGAAGGGGACATCACTCTTTGGTTTTGTAATTTCAAGCGTAGACATGTAACGGATCATTTGTTACAGAACTACTTTTATTGTCAGTATTTAAGAGTTAAGATTTGTTTTCCATCGCCACATGACAAATACAGAGTAAGCAGAGATTTAAAGGAACAGTTAGACAATTTGGAAACTGCAACTGTTTACTTTCTTGCATGGAGTTAGAGGAGAAGTTTGATTCCACTGTCATATCTCAAGCTACAGCTAGCAACTGGTTAGCTTAGCTTGCATAAACGCTGGATAAAAAGCTTGTCAGGCTCTAGAAGGGGAAAACATATCTTCGGGTGTCTAGTCTTTATGCTAAGCTATGCTAAGCTAAGCTAACAGCCTCTGTGTACAAATGCAGAAAAATAATGTTGTAAACTTTGCATCAGTAAAAAATTGTTATTTTTCCCAAAAATGAAGAACAATTCCTTTAATTCGGCTGTTACTGACAACTGCAATGACCGAACTACATCAACCTATGACTGGGGAAAAAGGGAGGTCAGCATAGAAATATGAAATACTGCAGCTAACACAGGAATAAACCCGCCCAGAAACCCTGATGGGATGGGGGTGTGGGGGTGCATGGGTGCTCTGTTCCTATGCTGATCTTTTATAATGTAGCACCAGCACACAGAAAGTGGGAGAGAGGGAGTTGTTCTTTAACCATGAACAGGAGAATAACAAGACAGATCTCAGGTCAGCATCTAGAGCGGGGAAAACTTCTAACATCAGCAAGCTGAACAGGAAAACGTGGACACTTGACCAGTGAGTGTTCTTCTGCTTTGCAAAGTGGCACTTTGAGGAAGGACTGAGGAGGAGGAGGAGGAGGAAGATGAAGATGAAGATGAGGAGGAGCACAGAGACACACAGAAGGTGTTTCTATGTAAAGTGTGCCGTCTGTCTGTGGCATCTATGAACTAGGGTTTTGGACCAGCCAGGTGAAATCGGTAGAGTCCATCTCCTGACGGGGGAGGACACTGTAGGTGGACGGGGGGATGGGTCGTTCCATCATGTCCACTCCAGGGGGGGTTCCCGAGGGCCTTTGGGCTGAATGCAGCGGTTACCGAACCCTGAGAGAAGATGGAAAATAAATGAGGGTTTGCTTTTAACGGAGACAAAACACAAAACAGAAAGTGTCTTCCCTCTTGTGTTTTCTGCACATGCTGCCCAGAGCTACGTTTACCATCAGCAAAAGCAATGCCACAAACATAGAACAAATGATGTCATTTTGATAAACTGTGTTAGTAGGAGAAAGCTGACCAGTGACTGAAAGACAGCAAACTTACCCACCCAGCTCTGCCTTGCTGTCTGTTGCCGTGGTGCCAGTAGATGTGGGGTCAGCTGGAGACGTCTTCTTAACACACTCTGACACATCTGCACACAAACACAAGCACACAGATGAATGGGTGGAGGCGCTGTGTGGACATCAGATGATTTTGAAAGGAATATTTCAGGCATAAAAAAGATCATTTGTAGATTAATTAGTAACCCTTGGTCATTTCAGAAACCTTTTTTTGCTCGCCATGCCTCATTGGTCAATCCAATCCTGATGAATTGGGGTAATTGTCCCTCCGGTGCTAGAGCAACGCTGGCGTCTTGTCTGTTGACTGCCGCTTCTACCCCCGGACTGTTTCTGGATGTTTGTTTGTTTTGTCTACGGGTCTCTATGCTGGTTTTCGCCGATACAAGGCTGCTCTTCACTCCGTTGTGCATCTCTCCAGCTCCGTTTCCATTCATAGGCTCCCTCACTACTGGACTGTATGCTACGTTAGCCATCAAAGCTAACAGCTGGCTCCACTCGGTCACCTTGACTACCCGGTCTGTATGCTACGTTAGCCACCGAAGCTAACAGCTGGCTCCCGTCACAATTGGACTACCTGATTACACCACTGGATTGTTTTTCCTGGCTCTGGGTGTGTTGATCGCTGCTCTGGACTCGGGTGAGTACGCTGTGTGTTTTGTGATGGTGATTGTGCCAACCTGGACCGACCTGTTGTGCGCCGTACATCAACAACAACAACACTCACTCTGTCTG